TGTAGTGAGTCACGTGAGGTACGTGTCACTTGTTGTATGACAAATATATGAATTATATATGCATACAATATTCACGAGTTCTTCATTTTTCTGACTGTGTAATGTCGTGCATTGAATTTAAAGGAATGCGAACGAGAGACGTTATTACCTTTGACCCATCAAATGAATGGAATCATTTATTTTCAAAATCAAAGTTTAACATCAAACATTTACATTAATTTGGCAAAATATGAAAATAGTAACAGACAGTTTCACAGAAAATGAACTTCAAATCACTCGGCGGTGATTTGAGGACTTTGCTTCAGACATTTCTAAAAATATCTGTACTGATTTATGAGAGAGAAGAGTTTAAGATTAAATTGAGATTTATCTTACAGAGGAAATATGTGAGGGAATTTAATCTGTTTGACCAGAAGTTGCACGCTCCGTCCGATCTCAGCTTCTCACGGTACACTTGGTCAAAATAGAACCATCTACCTGTTGATGATGAATCAGCCTTGGAGTAGTTCCTTTCTGACTCGTTTCAGCGTCTCCGTCGAGAGCTACCAAACCTTCAGAGAGTCGTGCGTGGTTAGCTCAAAACAGAATTATAATCCCCAAAAAACCTCTGGATTCTTCATTGCTCTGAAGCTTTCAGAACCGACTGCACTCTCAATCTTGGAACTCTCACGTTCTCCAGAACTCTCAATCTCAATCTCAATCTAACATGAACTGAGAAGTTGCCACATTTTATTTGGGTCGACTTCCTGTTCAATTTAGAGCTTTCTGATTCGTGGAAGGACCAGAAAGAGGAGTGGTTTTGACGTAAGGTGTTTATCAACAGTCGAGGTCAGAGAATGAAATTTGTTTTCACATACAGAAAAGATTATTGCAGAAGCAGCAGACTTTTTGGAGTCTACTCTTGGTAATCTTCTGAAAAAGTTTAAACATGACATTTCTTCTTCAGTAAACATTTAGCTGACCGAAGCCTCAACTTTCACACACTTACGACTTGCTCATTTCAGACAGAAAATCAAGAAAGGCATATTCAGGTGATTTCTTCTCTGAATGAGGAATAAAAATCATTACTTACTGTTTATGTAAAATAAAGATGAGTAGTTCTTTTCAACCTATAAGCATTGAGTGAACTAACACAATTTGATTATCAAAACATTTGTAAGACAGTAATGATTATAAAGAATTGTCTTTTCTGCTTGATTAATTCAAGAAAGAAAGTTCATCAGATGGCCCAGACTTATTCAGATCAATGAAAATAACAGTCTCTGTCCATCTGGTAGATTTGAGGTCATCTGGTTCACTACAATAGATTCCATCGTAAGGAATCATAACATCTCTTCATAGTTACACAGATGATGCTCAGATCTACCAATCTTTGAGAGTTTCACTTAAACCCCTCTGCATGATATCTGTTGAAGATGTTGGCTTTAAACATCATCACTTTTAGTAAGGGTGAAACTGAATTCAATATTGTTGTACTCCGTGGTAGTTGCAGCATGCTTTAACAAGATTTGGGTGTGATGCACATGCCAATGTTTATTAGTCCAGTTGTGAAGAAAGCTATTTTCTTCTTGGGGTTTATTATTATCATTATATGCATATCTTGTAAATGAGTCCTCGAGGCTCAATGGGATTTACCTGTCTAAATGAAGGTTGAAAGAATTAGGTATTTTATTAGGGGCTTTAAGTCCCGCCTACTCCCCCCCCCACCCCCACACAAACACACACGCACACAAACACACACGCACACACAATCATGTTGTCATCAATCTTTCTTTCAAAGCTAAAGTCAAACTTATTACAATAAAAAGTATTTGAACCTGAAAAGTGTTATCCGAGGTATATTTTAATTTCTGCAAAAGATAATGCCCTTTTGTTTACATGGAGGTGGCTGATGTAAAGTGTCCTGAAATCAGCCTATGAGAGTATGAGACCCGTTTTAAACTCACTTTTTCATTATTTTCATTTACAATTTTATAAACGGCCCATTCATCTACAGAAGTTGGTTTTTTTTTTATTACAGGGCAATACAACTTTTTTATAAAGCACTTCAAAGACAACATCATTGGCCAAAGTGTGTTACACCAAAAATAAACAGGGTAACAGAAAAAAATCAAAACACATAAATTAAAAAAATAATAATAAATATATATATATATATATATATGTGTGTATGTGTGTATGTGTGTGTGTGTGTGTGTGTTTGTGTGTAAAATAAAGTAAATTAAAAAAAATCAATACCATCAAATAAAACAGCAATAAATATAAAAATGAAGAGAACAACAAAAACAATGAAAAACAACATTTTAAACAGCGCCACCAGCCAGAGGGTTTAAAAACAGGAAGTGAGTCGGCCTGCCTGGTCTACAAAGACAACTGATTTCACAGTTCAGGAGCAGCAAATGTAAACCTCCTGTAACCTTATAAATTAACTTGACTGGACAGTAAAAAATAAAACAGATGTGCTGGTTACTAATCATAAACAGGTGGAAGGTAAAGAGCTGAAACAGAAGAAACTGGGAACATCTTTTGGTACAACTGCAAGAACAACCTCAAGAATATGACTCAGAAAATAACCCAAACAGGCTAAATTAATCCAGCTCGTATGAAAAAACAAAAACAGAGATTGAAAACACAAACCAACAACCCAGGACTACATTGTGACATTTGACATATTAGAAAACTGAGCATCATGTTATTGTGCTGTCAGTACCTGCTCACCTGTAATCATGGGTCATGTAATGACTCAACATAAACTGTGGATCAAGAATATGACAGCTGTCACTTTGCCAAGAAAATTAGCGCTTTCATTAGAAGTCCATGTCAACCTTAAGGACATGATGTGGTTTTTTTTAAGCTTGAGAAACTTAAATACACTTTACGAGGGTGTACACAAAGGTTTTCTTTCCTATTTCTCAAACTTGGAGGTTTTGCCCAACTGGTGGTGTCTGTCATTATGATTTTTTTTTGTCATAATGATCTTTTGTTTTGATTGTGAATATGGGTGTATATATGTCCCATTTGGTTGTTTCTTTTTGTTTGTGTGTGTAGTGACCTCGATGAGCTGAGATGGGAAGGGGGTTTGGGTTTGTTCTTGTTTCATTTTATTTTGTTGTCTATTTTCTTTTGTTAAAACAATCATACGAAAAGGGCTGAGGCTGGTGCATTGTATTTCTTTTTTCTTTGTCTTTTTATATATTCTGTCAGTATTATATTGTTATACGTACTAATAAGTGCATATGTACAATAAGAAATATACATTGTGATTTGTCTGACTGGCTCTAATAAAAATGTATAAAAAAATATATAAAACAAAAGAAGTCCATGTCAACCTTGAGCACAGTTTGTTCCGTTCATGGCAGACTGTCAAGAACTGTATCAATGTTTAACATATTTAATATACGCCCTCCTGAGGTAATTCTTCTCAGTCTTAGTTTCTGTCCTATAGTGACTTAGCTGTTCTTCTATTTGCCAGGCTAAAAGTCTTGTTCTTGTAATTGGAACGCAGACGTTCTAACATTTTTTTTTTTTTCTGAGACAACACAAGTGAGACATGCCTCCCTGCTGATAACAACTGCCACCATAAAGCTTGAAAGTGTCCATGTGGGTGTACTGAGGCTATATGCACACTTTATGGAAACTGAAGATAAACATTAACGGCTAGCAATCCTCGAAGGAATGTGTTCAGTATAGCTGTCGAAGCGAACAGAATACAGTATGTGTTGGGGATCAGCCTAAGCTACGACCATATCCATTTTTAGGACAATGTAGGTTTGGTAGAGTTTCAGTCGTGTTGTGTTCTCTAAGTTCAGCTGGCTGTAGCAACCATCTTAAACTGGGTTGACTTCAAAGTTGAATGAGCTGCAGGTGCACACCCAGTGACTGTTCTCAGAAACTTCTGAAATGTGGTTCATTCTGCTAACAGACTTCAATAAAGGATCAGAAGTTTTTAAATCAGATTTCTTTCAGTCAGTTAGAGCTCAGAGTATGTGTTGGGGGCAGCTGCTATTGTTCCACATCTGTTCAACTGACTGAGTTATGTATATTTTTGTGTTTTCGAAGTCGCTGTGGCGGACATCTTGAATGTGACTGACCCCAAAATTAATCCGTTTTGGATGCACATCCTGTGATTACTTCCTGAAACTTATTCAAACCTGTCCAGTGTTTCATGAGATATTTTGTGGTACCAACACACACACATGCTCACACATGATTAGAAAAAAATCCCATCCCAAGAAAATCTTGTCTGAAAGAGAAATCAGAAAAAAAATGATTGATGTCCGTCACATTTCTGATTATTTCCACCACCTGTTGGATTCTATGGAGAGATATACGATTGCGCCGCTTTATCTCATGATAATAACATAATCTTGTTTTACCAACGGATGCAGGATTAGAGTCTGATATTGTTTTATCATCCAATAACATACAAAGGTAAGAGTGTTGTGAGAGTCTCGTGAGGGTTTGGCAGGGTAGGCGTGCAGAGTGGATTAGAAGTGTGCAAAAAGTGAGAGTACAGAGGCTCCTCCTCATTCAGCTGGATGTATTTCTTGTGTTTTCTCAGCCAGTTTCTCACTCACACTCTCCGCTCAGCCGAGATTCAGAGAGCAGAGAGAGATTCTCACAGGGAATTAGAAGGGAGTGGTGGGGGAACCCTGAATTTCATCATTTCTCACTCAGAAAGAGCAAACAGGAGGGACGAGAGGAAATAAATTAACAAAAGGTAGAAATAGTTTTTATTTGGGGGGGGGGGGGGGGGCACTATCAGCCCTGCATGCTACATGTGCTCAGCTCACTTCCACCACGCTGTGTTTCCAGATGGAGAGGAAGCAGGGAAAGGTGGACCACCTGGACCTGGAGCGGCCGAGCCCTTTGAATGACACGGAGAGGGTGATGGTCCAGGACTCGTGGGCACAAGTCTTCCAGAACTGTGAGGATGTAGGGGTGGCCATCCTGATCAGGTAATGCTCTTAATTTGCACATTTGGATCGAGCTGAGCTCAAAGGTATGTTCATGCACCTGCTGAAGTCACTGCATGACCTAGTTTACTCCCCTCCAATATGCAAAAGATTTATGTCTTAGTCAAGTAAGTGTTTTAGACTGTGGGATTTCCTTCCATAAACTTTAACAAGCCTGCTGCTCTGGTTCCCTAATCCTATTCATCAAAGCAAAGACACGGATGAAAAACATCACGATCCATCATTCAAACTTGGTCGGCTCCCCTCTAGCAGGTCATGTTTTGAATGAGCCTACGACCGCATGACTCCATCAAGGAGAATGTTCCACGAAAACAAAGAGGCTCTGGGGCGTTTGAACCGCTTAATCTAATATCCTCAGTCGGCCACGTGAACGTTCAGTTCATCTATTTACATTCCTGCCTTGCAGAGCGGTCGGAGGACTCCTGCACTTGCTGCAGCCGCTCTTAAATATTAACACCCGAAGAGGAGAAACTTGCAAAAGTTGACCATCTGCAAAGCCGTGGATAGGTTTTCACATGTTGCCCAGATCCACCACATGACACGGCATGCCTTAATAATCACCTCTGATTGCACAAGACTGAATGTAAGTGGGTGACTGCACATTTATCACTGGTGAAGCTTTTCCATTTCACAGACTGCTGAATAACAGGGCTCAGCTGCACATTCATAAAAAAGCACTCTGGGACTTGTTTTTTTTTCTAAGTAGACCTGCCAGAGGAAAATTAATCTGACTCCTCCTCCACTCATATTTTTTAACTTGGCCTTTTGACCTTCAGGTTTACATGAATAATGGGTGAAAATCACAGCCCTGAAGGGAAAAAAAAACAATAATCTGTAAATAGACAGTCACAGAAAGTTCATCTACATCAGGACGTAAATAATTTGGTCTTTATCAGATTAGAAAATTATTTAAATCTAATGTCAAGTGCACAAAACAAAACAGGTTCCACCACGTCATTATTTATTATACAAAAGACAAAATGTGAAACTGTGTGAAAAACTAAGCTCAAGCTGGTTTAGTAGTTTGAAAAAATAAAATGAATTTTTTACCGGCAACAAGTAGAAGTAGTTGTCTTCTGTTTGACGTCAGTATAGCTTCCACTTGGAGGAATTTTGACTCTTCTTCAGTTGATTAAGTTTTGTGGACACTTGTTTGATAAATATGGTTGATTCAACGACTGCAAGGTCCCCACGTCCTGAGGCTGCAAACCACCACCTGCTGCCACCGTGCTTGACAACTGTCATGAGGTGTCTCTTCTACCACCAGGGCTGCTCCTTGTCTCCTATCCTGTTCACGGTGTTCATGGACAGGATCTCCAGACACAGTTGTGGAGAGGAGGGCATCTAGTTTGGAAACCTCAGGGTCATTTCTGCTTGTTGTAGATTATGTGGTTCGGTTGGTGTCTTCAGACCTGCCTCAGCGGACCAATAAGCATCATAAATTGGGGACATCCAGGGAAGATGTCTTCATCGTGTGAATAATTCTTTTACAAGAATGATGGATTCCAGGGCTTAATTTGTACACCAACAGATGCCGGAACACAAATAATGGGCGGGGCGAGGGGGTGGGTTCCTCCTCCACAATTTTTTTTATGAAGTAGATGCCATTTCCTGCATTTTGTTGTATTTTAACAAATTGGCAAACATCTATGTTTACCTATTTGTAAACACTCTGCTTCTGTCAAGCATCCTGCCCCCCCCCCCTTCTCCCCACTCCCACACACACACACTTGACGGTTCAGAGCCCGACACAGTCCCTGCTCCTTGTTGTCCGACTCCACATGTGAAACCTCCAGACGCCTCCTCTGTCTGTTCATGGCTGCTGCCTGTGGGCTCCTGCCCGGGTACGACTGTCTGGTTAGCTCGGCACTCACCCCCACCACTCTTTTAGGGGCGGAGATTTTTTTAAAGGTAGACGCGGAAATGCTTACGTGAAGAGGCAGCTCATATGCTCATAAGTGGCTGTTGTGTTTAAAATGAGTGTTTATGTAATTATTTTCACTTTACAAATCTAATATAAGTTTTATTTGTTCAAGGCAGGCATATTTGTTCATAACTTTCTTATTAGTAAGCCTGAGAGTTACCGGATCCAAGCAAACAGTTACCGGAACGCATCCTGTCAAAATAAGAGAGTTCCCGGATCTTGTTCCAACAGGATTTGGCTCAAATTAAGCACAGATGGACTCCAAATTAGCCTCTCCGAGACTTATCTGCTGCATCTGTCATTGCTGATGTCTTTTCTTCTTGACATTGTATTAACACACACCTATAGGCTCCAAAGCATCAACCCACCTAAATTTCTATTTTTGTATTGGCGGTCACGCTTGCTTAATATCATGTTTAATAACAGCATCGTGGTGAAGTTTGTTGTGTATTTTTCTACACTTGAGGCTAGATTTGAATAATTTCTAAACTTGGTCAAAACCAGAACGTTCCGACTGTGTTCAAATACTAGACTTGAATTCTTCCCCCCATGACTGTAGAGCCTGTCACTCCGTTGAGCTTCAGTGCTAATGCTAATCCTTCAAACTCATCATCATTTGGGGGTAACAGATAACACCCGCAGTAGCAAATCATAACGCTCCCCTTCTGAAATTAGAAACTGTCTTCCAATTCAGCTCTTCAATTATTCTTGAAATAAGATAAGGAAGGATTAGGAGTCCACTGACCACAGAAAACTAATTAGGCTATTTATATGCAACCACAAGTCATGCAATTAGGAGGCAAAAAGATTAAAGACTGTCGTTCCTCATTAGCTCGAAGTGAAACAAGAAATATGGAGCTTCGACGATTTTAAAAGCCCTTTACCCACAACTCAGAAATCGCACACTAACTTCCTCCCTTTTCACATGAAAAACTCCCGTCTCCAGGCATATATGCTTCAGATCCTGCAGAAAAGAGAGAGAGAAAAAAGCTTCCTTTGCTTCCAGCTGTTGCAGAGGCAGAAGGAGATGGGACGCCTTGAGTGGAAAACCAGAAACCAGATGTGTTGGCCCTCATCCAAGACTGTTGGAGGGTTGAGCTCTATGGTTTACTACAGTACCCCTGGGGGTCGAGCAGAGATGTAATCAAAGAAAATATTTTTGAACTGACCAATTGTTTTCAAAAAGAGCATAGCTTGGAGCTGGATGGAGAATTCCAGGTGAAATGAGACAAAAAATATGAAACACTCGAAGAAAAAATGTTGGGGGTTGGGGTGGATTTTCAGTCTCCTAGATTAAAAAGGAGTCACGTGGACATGTGGTACCCATAATGAGAAGTGGCGTTCAATTTTCCATCCAGCCAATTTTAATTAGCAGTTTTTCATGTCAGGACAGGAACCACAGCCCTCAGTTTAGATTCACCAATTAACATGACACGCACCGTAAGATGAACTGAACTCTTGCATAAGAATCACAACTTTCACTTACCCCCTTCACTTTCCTCCTTTGCAGACTCTTTGTAAACTTCCCCGTTTCCAAGCAGTACTTCAGCCAGTTCAAGCACATCGAGGACACGAGGGAGCTGGAGCAGAGCTCACAGCTGAGGAAACATGCTCACAGAATCATGAACTCCATCAATAGCTTGGTGGAGAACCTCGACAGCTCGGAGAAGATGGCCTCGGTTCTGAAGCTGGTGGGAAAGGCTCACGCGCTCAAGCACAACGTGGATCCAAAGTACTTTAAGGTATGAAGTGCAACAAATCAAGACACATGATGACTTTTTGAAAGTTAGGTGTGATGGTGATGACGGTAAAACCTGCACAGACAGACAGACAGACAGATAGACAGATAGACCGATAGACAGACAGACAGACAGACAGACAGACAGACAGACAGACAGACAGACAGA